TAATACAACACAATCTGTTAACATACTTGAATAATAAACATGAAAATATTATAAGGTATAAATCTAAATAAATCTGTTTTTGATCGTTTTTCCTTCCACTCAACTTTCTACTATTCTTGGATAAAGCCCTCTGTAGATACCCACCTTCTTTTTCTGCTGGATATCAAACCAAGTCAGCTGTCTTCTCCCGAACAGAAATACCTGTATTATTTCTGTCCTTCATAGTACTTCCAATTTCATAATAATATCAGCTTGCTTTTGATTTTGCCATTAGATTACATCAAAACCATTTAAATCATTCCATTCACATTATAAAGTTTTGAATTCAATCTTAAATGTGAAATTATTGATTTACATTCAGACTTATTTAGATGCAGCTACTAATCAAAATGAGCTGATACTTTTGTACCAGAACAAAGTTTCTCACATTGATTTTTTTTTTTGTGCTTCAGATCCTGGAGAGTTCCCAGTCCCTATTGAGCGTCCTAAAACAAGAAGCAGGAAACCTCAGCAAGGCCACAGGGCCTCGGAAAAAGGACCATTGACGCCACAGAAACCCCACTGAACTCTGTTAGACCACAATCCTCTCATTCTGCACTTTTTAACCCACTGATCTGTTCCGTTGGGTATTTTTTTTTTCTTTTCTGTAAAGCAATAAATGTTTGATTTTTAACTGTATATCTCCAGTGACTCTTTCAGACAAAACAGACTCGTTAACACCTTTTGTTCAAGTCGTCTATTTATTCAGCTCTGTTTTTGTACAAGTATGACATCTTTGTTTTTTTAAACCCCTTGCCCCCCCCCATCAGATTGTAGACAGTAAGTTGACATCAAGCAAATGAAGGTTTACAGACAGGAGGGTGATGAACGGATGGATGGAGCTTCTATCACACTGTGTGACGGGAGGAGACGTACACAGCTGAATCAGAACCAACATGTTTGTTTTTTTTCTGCTGGTGTCATCAAGGACCATCAATCATTTGGATGGATCGTCAGACGGGCCACGACTCCACAGCAGCTCAGAAAACAAACTCTAAAAGCTCCGTAATCAAATTATTAACTCAAGCTCTACGTTTCTGTTGTCGCTTCAGAACTAGTATTGGTCTGACGCAGTGGGGTGAAATAATATTCACCCCACTTAACTATGATACCCCCAAATAAAATCTAACGCAACCAACTGGAGAAGATTTATCATTTAATTTTAGAATTTGCACTTTTTGTTTTAACGTTAAAAGAACATTTAGTGGATTTTCTCTGTGATTTCATGCAGAAATCGTCTGATTCTAAACTTGGATTTACTAAAGAGGAAAATGTGAATTAGGATTTTTTTTTTAATTGAGGGGAAACTCATTAAGCCTTTTTTAGCAGTGGTTCCTCAAACAAATACTTATTCTGTATTTTTAAATCAGTTTTGAAGAGTTAAAGCTGTTTTTATTTATTTTAGTATTTTTCATTGAAAAATGCTTACTGCTTACTGTAGAAAATTTTAAGATCTGTCCAGGGACAACAGATGAAAAATGGCCTTTTGGCTAATTCTGGTGCATTTGCAGGAATGCTTTTTAATGTACACTGTCCCTTTAAATAAATTAATAAATTAAATGTGTTTAAAAAAAAAACTAATTTACTGCCATACGGCTAAATAAAATCCAGCTCAGATTAGGAATATTGTGTAATGATTAAATAGAAAATGATGAAAATAAACTTTTCTTTCAAATATGTTTTATATCTGAAATGCATATTTGTATCCAGGCCCCTTTTACTCTGTTACCCAGAGAAAATCTCACAACAACCACTTAATTGGTTCCTTAAAAGTTATTACTTGTTATTTCTTGTTGCATTTTGATGTCGTATGGAAATCTCTTCATAACTATAATCTATATAATTTTCTGGTTGAAAAAATTTTAAAGAAATGCGTAGGAGCCAATTATTTTTTGTTAATGATTAAAAGTTTTTTGTTTTTGTGCATAATCTAGCTAAGTTTATTTTACTTTATCTGTTTAGAGATTATATTTTTTGGTTATTTAGTCATGTTCCTTTCTTTTTTGGTTAGTTATGATTAATTTAGGTTTATAGTTTTTATAAATAGGCAGTCAAGTGTATGTTTGTGTCATCAAAGCTGGGCCACAACATTAGTAAAAAAAAAAAAAACATACGCCCACCCAGATGCATGCTGGTCCTACGATTGACTGCCCTATTTATAAAAAATAATTAACCTAAATTAATCATAACTAACCAAAAAATAAAGGAACATGACTAAGTAACCAAAAAAACCTAATCTCAAAACAGATATTAAACAATAAAGTAAAATAAACTATCTAGATTATGCACAAAAACAAAAAACATTTTTAATCATTAACAAAAAATTATTGGCTCCTACAAATTGGAAAAGATCTTAAACCTCTGCAGATTTTTCTGTTTTATTTGCATTTTAAAGAGTTATTGATCAGTAAATCTTTTGGACATTTGTTTTTTTTTTTCTATTGAACTTTTTCAACATTTTCAGTCCAGCTGTTGTACCTGGCACTTTGCTCTTCATGTGCTCATCACATTAGGCAAGTTGATATGATCGGTTTTAGAAAAACACAATTTGGGGGCTAAATTTATAATTTTTTCAGTTTGTCAAACTGTTGAATTAAACTGGAGAGATTCAGGAGTTTGAGAAAAGCTGCAGGTCAGGAACCCCAAATCTTCTAAATTCTTTTGGTTATCTCCTATCTCTTCTTTCATCTTTTCTCTTTTTTTCTTCTTTTTTCCTTTTCTTCTTCTGTTTTTCTGCTCTATTTACATTGCAGTGTCCATATAACCTGTAAAACTCCCTGCATAATTATAATAATGAAACAAGTGTAGCCGTAAGGCAATTGCCATATGGCTCCACTTGTGAAAGTAAAATCTGTTGGGCTCTTTTTGGCATCAAGACAATTATTCTTATTGCCACATTGCCAGACAGTAAACTGTAATAATAATTAAAAAAAAATCTTTTGGTTCCTCCCTGAAGTCCCCAACCAATAATAAGGGTTGCATCTAGAAGTCATCCTGATGAGCCTTCAGGTCAATCCAGTAGACAAGTTTGTAATTTTCTCTCCAAACCAAACATGGAGGTTCAAAGACTGAAGAAAAAACGAATGGCAAAAAACAACCAAAAAGAAACTTGGGAAGAACTTCAGAAAACCTGGAGAGCAACACAGCAAAGCCACTTTAAAGAGACTAAAAGGAAGTCTGGCAAAGTAAAAAAAAACAAGGAGTTTTGCTCAACATATCAAATGAAAATGAAAGAATCCAGCAACTTTACATCCTTTTATTGTTTATTATTAGTTATTATTCATTGATTTCTCACTGTAGCGGGGACCAGTTATTTTAGTTTCACTTCCAGACCTATTTCACTGCTTGCTAAGTGGCTGTGGGGAGACCTTTAAGCCACATGGTAAAAAAAAATTGCATCAAAAAAGATCTCCTACTTACGGAAGAGGATTAGGGCCACTGGAAAAAAAAAAAAAAAAAAAAAAGTTAACTGATTTTTTTAATTTTATTTCAGCTTAACATGGGAAAAAAAGTCAGAATTCTGACTTTTTTTCTCAGAAGTCTGACTGAATTCTGACAATAATAAATTGAGAAAAAAAGTCAGAATTCTGAGATTAAAGTCAGAATTCTGAGATTAAAGTCAGAATTCTGACTTTTTCCCCACACTATACTGAAATAAAAAAAAAAAATCAGTTAACATTTTTTTTTCCAGTGGCCCTAATCCTCTTTCGTACCTACTGCACCTTTAAATCAGGCTAATCCGAATATAGTTCCAATAAATCGGCTCCTGAGTCACTTGAAACGTTAGCAAACTGCAAAGAAAATATAATTTGGGTCAGATTTTACATCCCACCTCCAATTTCCTACTCAAGAAAAACTTTTTTGTCCCTTTACATTTAGTTATTTTCATGACCTACGGTGATAAGTGGTCATAAACCAGCTCAAATCTAACATAAAACTGTTATTATGGGTTGGGGGGGGGGTTCTGATCCCCATTTGGATCAGCTGACCCCTTCAGAACATAACCTCCAATCAAACAAGGAAACCCCTCAGCTGGCTTTTATTTATTGAGGTCCTACAACCAGTGATGCTTTATTACATTTTGAATATGCTTAATAGTCAAAGTGGAAAAAATAAAAAAACTCCCCGGTTTGGTTTATTATGGCCAAACATGGCTCCGGTTTGTACCACAAAAAGATGGAGACAAAACATCCAAATCAACTAAAAGATCTAAACACTTTTAGTTGATTTTAAAGGCTGCTTCATGTCTGCTGTGGAGCGGCGGACGTATGGTCACAGTGACGAGGCCGACAATCATGAGACTTTAATACAAGGCTGCGGCAAACATTTAAAGACAGAAGCCAACATGGCGATAATCGGCAGTGCATTCATTTCGTTCCGCTGGAGAGTTTTACTTTCAATGTTCTTCTGCTTGTTTCTAGTCCATAATTACGCCTCCGTTTCCTACAGGTTTAGTGGTTCAACCTCAAACCGAACCCTTTGGGTCAGCTTCTCCTTCTGCACATTTCCTCCATTTCCTGTCTTCATTAATTATCAGGTGCAAAATGCAGCTTAAAAAAAAAAAAAAGCATGACAGTGCAAAGACATTCAACATTGAAGACTCCAGGACTTTAACTGAAAACAACAGAAATCCAGCTTCAAGGACTGAAAAGGTTCCAGATGATTGTGGAGAAAAATGACCAGCGTTACGTGGATCTTTTAAGTCTGGAAACACTGGTGGACGGACGAGTGCGAGGCCAGAACGGCAACATTTGAATCAGTTGGCATTATGAGTTCAAGAAAAATAAAATCATCTGAAAACTTTCCTTTGTATAAAAACAAATCGGTAGAAAAGAAAATATATATAAACGATCACAAGCCCATTCTCTCACGGCATACTTTCCCACTAGGCATGGGCTGGTTACCGCAGTTTACGTCGCAATATTGTTGGGATACCTCGATCATAAACTAGAGAAAAAGCCAATTTTCCTTAATCGTATCAGTTCTAGAAAATCTGCATTAAATAAAGAGTTTAATCATTTTCATTCATCTTGTTTAAGCAAATCCCAAAATAAATATGTAGATGAGATGAAAAAGAGAAGAAACGATGTGAGATCTTTAGATGTGGGGTTCCTCAGGGTTCTATGCTCGGTCCCATTATTTATTCACTCTCTTTTTACCGGCTCTTATGATATCATAGCTTTAAATTGTGCAAATATGATGCAAGAATCTTAATCCAACCCATGCCTAATTCCCACTAATATAACATTCAACACAGAAGCCTTAAATAAAATGGCTGCTTTCTCTGTGGAATGTCAAAGTACTTGAGGTCTGACAGGAGAAAATAAAAAAAAAAAATGAAGAAAAAAAATCTAGTAAGAAGCTTTTCTTGCTTCTCCTGATTTACTTCACACACGCAAACACGGATCGCACAGACGAGAAGTCGCAAAAAAGCCGTCAGATCGGAACTTTTGTCTTTACAGCTCACATGAACACATTCTGCAAAGCGATGATTCAGTTTCGGGACATACAGACGTTATTTTTATTACTATTATTGGCGAAGGTCACTTTTATTTCCCGAGCGTTCGATACGGAATAAAAGCTGCTACTGATTGACGGGCGTCTTGATCGACTCCTTTCAAACAAAAGAAAGGAGGTTTTAAAACACCTCTGAGAAACATCCAGCAAATTTAATACGGCAGAGAGACCTCCAACTAAAGAAAGGCGAAGAGAAGCTTTACAGTAAACATGAAAACAAACATGCACGTACAAAACAAATGACCAAAGAAAAAAATTTAAACGTGGCACCCTTATACCTTCATTTTTAGTAGTTTTTCAGTTTGTATGTCTGCTATTTATAATCTGTACAGAAAGGAGAGGAAAATCCTAACACTGACTTCCGGCACCGATGAGTGAGAGTGTGGGACAGATCAACTGTCCGCAATCAAAGGGGGGAAACACAGGCCAGCTGCTTCTTTCTTTCTTTATTCCGATTTGTTGCTTCCTCCTAAAGAGGTTGGAAACTTCTCCGATGGCAGGAAAACAGCGGGGGTCGGAGCAGCGTGTGCTTGCAGTCGGGCCTGGACGTGTGGCGAAATCCCCGCCGGATTTTCAGGAGATGCTGCCGCCGTCCGCAGCGATCAGAAGTAGAGAGCCGGCTCGCTGCTGTAGTCGGACAGCGAGGAGCTGTCTGCCGGCGTCAGCTGGATGGAAAACAAAAAAATTGGTTTTCAAATGATGTCAAACCTCTCTGCGTTAAAGTCTTTTTGTCCAGAAACGGCTTGTAATAAAACTAAAAGCAGAGTTCCCGCGGGTCCTTAAAAAGTCTTAAAAGGCATTGAATTCTTCAAAATAAAACTAAGGCCTTA